TTTCAAAGACGGTAGGATATCTAGGATAAACTTCACAGCATTGTCTGCAGCCCTGATAGCTTTAGGTAATGCACCTTTGCTCCTAACAAGTGACTGGAAGAGTAAAATTTATTTTTCTGGGACATAATTGTTTTTCTGTCCTTGTAATGAATGGCTACGAATTGAACATAATTGTTGATAGGAATGCCTAATGACTTATTTCTTGAAACTTTTGTAGCACACCTGATATTTAACTTTGAAGCAAACCTCCTTAATGAACTATTGATTTTTAAATGTTGGCATGCAATTTAAGTCCCAACTAACTTCAGCTTTTTCAGCTACTAGCCCGTTAGACGTTCTTTGACTGATTTCTCCAATGTTTTCTATTTTAGAGAGAAATATCTTTCAAAAAACATTTTCATAACAAAGTAAGTTTGTTGCCCCCTTATATGCATACACACAACAGCATATATAGGGAATTAGAATCGAATTATTCAAAAGGGTCAATATCCAGTGAAGTAACTAAACCCCTCAAATATGGCTTAAGAAACATTTTCCAAGAGCACTCAGAATTATTTTTATGTGTTGCATTATGAAATAATACTGGGATTTTAATAACTCTCCAGTATTTAACAGGTGACACACAAAGGTCTCAAACAATAGCAAATGTAATTTTTGTACATATAAACATTTTGGGGACTGATTGTGTAATTTGTCAATTTAGACTCTTGGCTTTTTCTATTGGCTACCCATGGGACCATTCTCTGTTGACTACATAGCCCTCAAGAGGCAGATCAAAATTATCTCCAGGAAAAGATTTACTGAAGAAAGAGAAGGTAGAAACTAATGAATAAAGTTGCTAAGCTATTTATTAAATTTATTTTTTTCTGCTCATTTTGTGTTTTTATTGCTAATTGAAGTTTGAGTAATAGAAAAAATCAATGCATTATTTAACACAGTTTGCCAGTTTGAATAATCTTCCTAAATTAAATTAGATTATTCATTTAACTAACATTTATTGAGAGGCTATAACATGCCACACATTATGCAAAATTCCGAGAATATGATCCTTGTTTTTATGAAGCCTATAATTCAATGAGAAGGCAAATATTGAATAAAAAATTAAATGTAAAGAGTTCCAAGAATGAGCAATGTTACCTCAAATATGACTTTTGTCTCTGTAGGCGGCATCTGCAATCTTGACCAGCCATTGTAAAAATCCCAGTTAGCTGGCTCAACAAGTCTTCGGCCTTTTGTCAATATAGACACTGCAAGCATTCAAAATTCTATGTTAATTACGTTTGTAACAGAAGGCTGCTATCAAAAAGTAATTCCTAATTATTACCATCTTGGCAGATACTTGTACTTTGCAAAGCACACTTAACAAAGCAACACTTGACGTGGGACAATCCTTTTCAATTTCTCCATCAAAGCTAATGGTATATAAAAACTTTTAGTATTGAAAACCAGTCTCTCAATGAAGCTATTTGACACATTTGACCTGCTCATGATTCAGTGAGCCTCTAACATGACAAAACTCACCACTTCCTCCATTCAAGTTAAATTGCTCTTATCTAAGCATTTTTCCTCCTCCTCTGTCATAGCAGAGGCAATTTTGTAACTCCAAAGTTCAAGTTCCTTCAAATGGGTTATGGCAAGGTTTGAAAACAAAGTGTCATATATGTACTAATAAAGAAGTATATATAAATTTCACTTGCAGAATTAAGCTTTAATTATTAAGCTTTAATAAAAAAGAATAATGTTTAACTTGATGATAAACTGGCAAAATATTTGCCAAACCCACA